AGACACTGTGTTATCTTCTACTTTAAAAGAAGTCATTTACATATCAGAATCATGCTTTATGAATTGTATTAGATTCAATATTGAAAGCTAGATGTATTAGACATTCAATAAAACTAGTAATTAGACATTAAATAAATATTAACAGCCATCAAACATGGGAAGGATGTGCAGAAGGGGCAGCAGCATTCAGTGTGTTGATGACAGAATGTATTTAAAGAGGGTCAGAGCAGGTATGGGTCAAGAATGGAACCAAAAAATAGGAACAAAGATAAACGGACCTGGGCATCTACTGAGAATACATTTTCAATGACAATAGGTGACATGCAAAAGTTTCTATTTTGATTTTCACTGACACTTATGTGTGTGGACTATTCCTTTACACTGTGTGGATGTATGCCACTGTGATTGGTTTAATAAAGAAGCTGACTGACCAATAGGTAGACAGGTAGAACTTAGGCAAGACTGGCAAGCAAAATGAAGAAAAAGAGAAGGAGTCTCAAGAGTCACTGGGAGATGGAGAGGAAGCAGAGACGAATTTGACTGACTAAGGAAAAGTACTGAGCCATATTGCCAGAGTATAGGGAAGAAATATGGTAATTTTAAAATGTAATATTAGCTTATAACAAGCCTGAGCCATTGGCAGAACATTTATAATTAATATAAATCTCTGTATGATTATTTGGGAACTGGTTGGCAGGAGAGAAAGGTCTGCCTATGCATGTGTAATCTTAATTTTTATATAGTTTTTGTTTGTCTTTTGATTTTTGTTTTCTGAAACAGGGTTTCTCTATAGTTTTGGTGTCTGTCATGGAACTAGTTCTTGGAGACCAGACTGGCATTGATCTCTGTGAGTTCAATGCCTCTCTCCCCTGAGTGCTTGATTAAAGGCGTGTGCCACCACTTCCCCGCTCATAGTTATTTTTATAATTCCAGGTGAGTTAAAAAAAATAAAATTTCTTGCTAAAGAGTATGTAGCCTCAAATTTTATGTTTCATGGTCTGTGTGAGTCCGGCATATCAATCCAACAGTTTTCTTTGCATTGGTTTAAGTAAACATGCACCTTCAGTGGATGAAATGTAATATCCAGCTAACTCACTTCTATTCCAATTTAATTCACTATTCTTATTAAACTTGTAAGTTATGCTATGATTTTCATACAGACAGGTTTGTTTACATTTGATTTCTTTGTGACTTTAAAATATTATATATAAACAACCTAACAAAAATCCATTTCAAATATAGCTGATGCTTCCTTCTAGTTTTATTCAAAGCATACACTTCTTGTTCTGTGCATGAAATTTTCTTAAATTAAGCAAGGTGGTTATAGCATAAATCCCATTATCTCCTACGTTCCATGTGCAATGAGATGTAAATGAGGACACGCTTCTCTGAGACCTCAAAAATAAAATCGTTAAGGGAGAAAAATCAGAGAGCTTAAATAATCCAAACATCTCATGGTGATATAGTCCCATACAGCTATGATTTATTAAATCGTATATTTATTAAAAATTTGATAGCTAAAAGGACACAAGTAAGAAAAATGGGCTACCTTCTAAATTTGATGTCAAATAAAGTTAACAAAGAATTAAGTTTTGGGTTACCTAAATGTATGATTATGGCCCACCAATACACATTTTCAATTTAGTCTTCCACATGTGGATACTTTTAGAGATTTTAAGTGTGTCTACTGATATATTAACCAGGAAATATATTATTAGAGCTAAACATGTACTGCTGATTAAATTGCAAATGTCAAATTTTGGTTACAGAACAACATAACAATAGTACATTTTGAGAATTTGACAAACATTCAGATAACAACTGACAATTATATTGTATATGTATATTTATATATTATATATGCACATACTTAGCAAAGTTGGATTTTCTTGTTAAGCATCATAAAGAATCATACTACTTGGGGGATGAAGTCTACCCTCCCTTTAGTATGCCTAGAATTTACCAACTAGTCTTGAGAGGGATTGTAAAGAAAATCTGAAAGGGAAGATGGTAACACTGAATGTCAAATGAAGAGTAAAGAAAATTCTCAAACTTCTGGTTTCACACCTCAGAGAACTAGGAAAGAAGATAACATTAAGCTCAAAGGTATCATAAAAGAGGACAAAGCAATGATAAGAGCAGAAGTAAATGATGTAGAGACTATAAAAATAACAGAAATCTAATCAATGCCCTAAGAGTTTTGATTTGTACAAATTTATACAAGTTGACAGAGTAGGAAAAGAAATGATTTAGATAATGAAATCAGAAATGAAAGAAGAGACATTATAATTGATACTTCAGAAATACAAAGGATTGTGAGGGCAGTATAGGCATCACGTACCAACAAATCAATGTACAAAACAGAATTTTCTAGAAATATAAATCTAATGATAGCCACAAAAAGAAAAATTAACCCAGTAATTAAAGCCTCTTAATAGGGGCTGGAGGGCTGGTTCAGTGGTTAACAGCACTCGTTACACTTTCAGAGGATCTGTGTTCAGTTCCCAGAACCATAAGGTGGTTTATAATCATTCTTAACTCTGGTTCCAGGAAAGGCCATGCCATTTTCTGATATCCATGGCCACCAGGGATGTACTTGGTACACATACATAGACTCAGGCAAAAAAGCCTCATACACATAAAATAAATAAATAGTAGATACTGGAGAAGAATGTAGAACACTATTTTACTAAACCATCACAATCCCAAGTATCAATCTAACATTTGCCCTTCTATCCACAGATAACAACTGTAGTTTTCACTGCTCATCAAGGAATCTTCTTTTGGAAACAAACACTACTTCAGAAACCACAAGTACAAAGTTGAGGAGTCCAGGTCTAACTGATGCTTCTACAAAACACTCGTGCACCTAAGGCTCAGGGAACATTTCTGAAGAAGGGGCAGCATGATTAAAAAAGCCAGAGAAATCAAAAAGTTTGCCATGAGATGTGTCTCATAAGTTACTGCCCAAACATGATCTGAACAAGGACAACAGCAATAGACTAATCAAAATGGATGAGGAAAGACCATGAGGCCTCAACCCTACACAAAGAAGTACAGGCAAATGGGTGCTGGGAGTGGAAGAAATAGTTCAGGGAAGAAACTACCAACTGTTTATCCAATACCAAATGGTCGGCTCTGAAAACATTCATACATGTAGCATACAGACTGAGGCGGTTATTCATATATACTTAGAAATAAATATTTATATGCACATATGAATGTGATAACAATGAAAGAAAAGTGGCCAAAAGTTTGAAAGAGAACAAGAAAGATATGGGAGGATTTGGAGGGAGAAAAGGAAGAGGAATGATGTCATTACACTATAATTTCAAAAGAAACAAATATTCTCAACCCAAAGGAACTCAGGACTTTCTGATTTCACTGATGAACACACAAATATTAAGTGTGTTAATATTACTTTGTCTTAAATTCCTCCAAAAAGTTGAAGAGGAAGTAAGAAATAAAATTCCAAACCCCTGTTAATGAAGCAGGCATTACCCTAATAGTAAATACAAAGAACAACACTACAACCAACAACAACAACATTCCTTTTCAATATCCTTTATAAATATGGGCTTAAACCCCTCAGGATGTTATAACCTAAATAGCCTTCAAACCCAGCCTGCCCAAGGACGAGATAACATTCTGGGATTATGGGAGCTGTCGTTCTTGAACAATAACAACAAAGCCTCATTGGATTAGTATGCTGTCTCTTGGGTTTTGTCCATATGAGACGCCCCACAACATGTGTCTCTGGGGCCACTTACCTGGAAACTTTCCAGGTGATGGTCCTGATCAAATTCCATATTAGTCAGTATTTAACATTTTAATGAAAGTTCTAATTTGAACAAAATGGTGGAACTGGTTGTTCTCTGGCGAATCTTAGAATTAAGAGGGGTAGAAGATAATAGACAAACCAAATGATGTATAAAAAATTTCTTCACCGTGCTCATAGAATCTATCCCAAGGATGCAGCACTGGTACAGAATTGGAAAATCACTGACTGCTATATGTTAAAAATGGGATGAAGAATAAAAATAATCTAATCATCTAATTGTGTGCAAAAGAAGAAGCCTTTTAGGAAAAGCCAACATCTTTTCATGATAAAAACTCTTCAAAAATTAGGGATAAATTAAAAAAAAATATGCCAACACAATAAAGCAGTAAGCCCATAGTCAAAATCATATTCACTGTGAAAAGTTCCCAAGAAACCAGATTGTATCAAGGAAAGGATTTGAAATGTAGATTTTAATTACATTTCAGTAAAAATATTTTGCCCATAAAGGATAAGGCCATGAGCTGGGTGTGGTATCACACACTTTTAATCCTAGCACTTTGGAGGCAGAAGCAGGGGGAATCTTTGTGGGTTCAAGTTCCACTTGGTTTACAAAACAAATTCTATGCGAGCCAGGAAACCCAATGAGAACCTGAAGCATGATTAATAAAAGAGAAAGAGAGAGAGAGAGAGAGAGAGAGAGAGAGAGAGAGAGAGAGAGAGAGAGAGAGAGAGAGAGGGAGAGGGAGAGGGAGAGGGAGAGGGAGAGGGAGAGGGAGAGAGAGAGAGAGAGATTGGGGTTCAAACTGAAGGTCTGAAAAGCAAAGCATCCAGCCACTGGCTCTTACTTCTACCTCAGTCAGAAAATTACGATCCTGCCTCCAGGAATCTCAGAATGATACTGTGCCTGAGAGCTGTTGCCTCTCATTTTATAATCCTCTCTAATGCTGGGATTAAAGGCATGCACCACCCGGTTTCTAAGGCAACTAGTGTGGCTACTGGGATTAAAGGTGTGTATTACCACTACCTGGTCTGTAAGGCCCACCAGTATGACTGTTTTACTCTCTGATCTTCAGGCAAGCTTTAGTTATTAATATAGAAGTGAAATGCCACTATAAGAGCCTGTTTGAAAAAAAAAACCGTCCTCAGGATTTAGATTAAAAAAATGCAACTTATTTGACAATACTGATGCCACTATAAAATGTACAAATAGAACACATACTGGGTTTAGAAGGATTGTGAGGAAGAGTTCACCTCCCTTGATACTTTTATCCAATTCTTGGGGTCCTCCTGGATACTCCTTGTAGAAAATAGTGTGTGTGAACAGCCCACAGGTCTGTCGAGGGAGGACCTGATGACAAAGAGGGAAAGGCAACACACTGGTAAGATGTAGCTAGGAACTGTTATGCTCCTATAATTTCACACTCAGCAAAAAGTTCCTGGTGTCTTACTGTAACCGAGGGTTCATGTTGATTTAATTTTGTAAATGTCAGTGTAGTAACCGAATCAAAGAAACACAATTTGGAGTTTAGAATATGTACACAGTTAATTTCGCTCTATAAACCTAAACTACTGCCTGACTTGGGTTAAGGAATAAAAAATTATCTTAGGATTCATTTGATTCAGACAGCTACCAATGTTATTCTTCTCATCCAATTAAGCCTCTCGTCTCCTTCTGACACTCAGTCTTGCAGAATACGCAGGGTTAGGTATTCAAAGTCAATTTTTCTGACCATCTCTGCCTTGTTTTGTCTGTACTCTACCCTGACTTTAAAGTTCTCACTGGTAGTCGAACTATTTAATGACTGTTTCTGCAATATTTTTGTGTTGAATTTGCTTTAGCTCTGGAGGTTCAACAGACAAAACAAGTAAGCAAATTGTCTCTAAAATCCAATTTTGAATAATAAAGTATTTATAGTCTAATAGAAAATGCACCCAATTACACAAGAAAGCTATGATGGCATTTATTCTTCATTTAACTTTCATAATTAAATTCAAGGTAAATGAAAGCATGGAGTCTTGGCTAAAAGAAAGATTTCCTTTATGACATGTTGGGTGATCACACAATGAAAGAATCTCAATACTTTCTCTGATTTTAAGTGTATGTGAATAATTATTTTTATACTGCCTGATTTCTATTGACTTCAACTGCACTATTTATAGTATCAATGATTTTAGGTATCGTTCTTTGTTCTTTGGTCCTCTGGTGCTATATTCTAACAACGAGGTGATTAAAGCCCCATGATAAAATGAGTTCCAACTCTGGGTAGCTCTATATTCCTGTCTCTTCTTTTTACATGGAGATTAGATGTAAGAATAGACAGATCAAGTGTCAATGTGAATGATACTGTGGGTTAGTATAAATACTAAACAGAAAGAAAGTTGTTAACTAATGCTGTGGTCTTGAGAGTTAATGGTGGTAACAACTTCAAAGATACCCGAAACTGGATAAAACTGGCTTTCTTAGAACTATAGACATGGTGTCCCTCTTTCTCCCCCCCCCCCAATGAATATGTTAAACTTCCAGCTCAAATTCATGTGATTTTACTCTCATTTATCACAATGGACGTACCATTCTTAAGCTTGAGTATTATTTTTTTTTTTTTTTAGCTAATACACAAGGAAAGGAAGTACATACCACATTTCCCTTCAATTTGCAAGAAGAAGAAAGGGAAATTAAACAGCATCCTAAGTTACTCTGAATGCCTAAAAGTCAAAATATGCTTGACAGAAAGATTTGGCTTTCAAGTGTTATTGTTCCCTTTTCACTGGTAGTACTGAAGTGACTGGAGAGCTGTTGTTTTCTTGATCCATAGAGCAGCAGCCTACCTTCAGCTCTTTGTAAAATCATGCAAACAAGCAATACTGAGGAATCCCTCAGGAGAAGCAAAGGAGGCCCAGATCAATTTTCAGTTTGAAAATATTAATAGATAATCTATGCAAAACTCATTCCCATTATTTCCCGATTGTTATACACGCAGTACAATTATTCCACAGCATAGGAAAGAATCCTGTTGTCAAATAGAATGGTGGAGTAAAAGAAGTTCTGTGCTCCATCATCAGATAGGATGGTGAGCCCTTCCCTTTAACACAGGTATCAAGGCCTTTCAGACACAGAGTATGCACTCACCATGATGCTATTGTGAATGAAGCCCTTCCGGTATCTTGCAGGTTTCAGATGTGGATACTCTTCAGTGCTGGTGACCTGAATACCCCAGACCTTCTTCCATGCTGCATACAGCTGAATATGGACCGGGTAGACCCCTGAGTGATGCGGGGCCACTGCGTAGCCCAGGTTGGTTGGTATTCCATGTTCCTATAAGAAATCAGAAGAACACCATCATGGAGTGGGGGCAATTGGGTGAATTAAAAATCTTCGTATTTATTTGGCATATATATATATATATATATATATAT